ATATATATATATATATATATGATATAACCAGAACAGTGATGATCAGGCTCGTTCCTTTACTGCACCATCTTGTTGTTTTTCCCATGCTTTTGACATCATCAGGTGTCTTGAATGTGCTTGTGAGGCCACTGGCAGAACAAGAGGTTGAATTGCTTTTGTCTCAGTGCAGGTGTGGCTGTATTTGAAGATCTGGGTTGAAATGTTTATATGCAGTTTGTCTGCCAACAAAGTGTCCAAGCAAGCTCTACTACTGTTGTAGCTGTAGTTCTTTCCCATCGTTGGGCTCTTCAGCTATGCTAAATAATGAATTGCAGTATGGTGCAGGCTAGATCAGACATTGCCTAATTATGTTCTGTGGGATTTCCTTGTGGCTGGAGGCTTTTTAATAATTCTTTCAGGTTTTATTCTTTATACCAGCGAAAAAAAGAGCCATTTAATTAATTAAAAGAGGTTCACGTAATAAAAAAAGGAATTTGCAACATTGCAGTTAAATCCTATCCATCCACAAAGTCATAAAGAGGCTTGTTTTTATGTTAAAGATGTTAATCTTCTCTGTATCAGGGGCAATACACAATGTAATGTCAAATTTTCCAGTAATTTGTGTGGGTAATAATGATTTTGGACCCTGCCGGGGAATCCTACTCTGCTTCTCATGAAGAGGATTAGCACACTTTTAAGAATAGCCCCTTTAATCACAGACTGAGGTTTACTTAAACACAGCGTTTATTTTTACAGTCCATCCGTTTCTTGGGGCTAATCAGTGCACTGCTCCCCGGAGGCATAGTTAGTTTCCTGTCTCTTGGCTCCACTGCAGCAACTGTATCACCACTTCACAACCTTGTAAAGAGCGGCCTTATCAGTCACACAAGATTGCTGTCTTAATTATGAAGCCCAAGGAGAAAAGGGCAGCATTATCAGCATAATTATGGACCAGGACATTTCGGTGGTCAGCAGGCTGCGTTCCCCTCATCAGCCTTGGGGCGAAAGCAATGACTCCTGACTCATGAGAACCAAGTTGAGCAGCAGTGCATCAGCAAAGAAGGCTGAACACTCATCTCTGCGAAGATGTCACTGCTGCCAAACCACAGGCAGAGTGTTGTTAAAGGGAGCGTCTGGCCGCATGCTAATGTTAGCTGTGCTAAAGGTCCCATTGGAACTGTAATTTAGTGTTTTGTTTTTTTCTCTTTGGTACAATGCTAAATACTGCTCAGTTTCCCCATCTTCGTGCATTGTTTAAAAACTCTTGCGTAAACACTCGGCTTCTTAAGATTCATTTGTGGTCTTTAAAGACGCAGCTCTGTTGTGAGAATACGGCCTCTTTGTTTGTTTCATTTGTACAAGTGTCAGGTTGTATATGCTGGAGTGGATTCCATCAGAAACAGATTATTAGTTTTTGCTGCTGATGCAGTGAAAGTTAAGTTTAATTTAAACACTTCCTGTAGAAGGGTTGGCATTAAGCCTACCTTGAGCCTATTGGGTCTGGATGAGCTATTAGCTAGTTAGCTTGCAAAGGCCTCTTCTGTCGAACAAATGTACTTTTTGTATCTTTTTTTCTGTGTATTTGGTTATGTTTTTATTAGTGCTTATAATTTTTATGATATACGACTCACTGAGCCCAGAGGGTCTGCTGGCCTTCTGTTGGTTTAAAAAAAATAAGCAAAAAAACTTTTATATCCAGAGGATAAAAGTGGAGGATTTCATGTTTTGTAGAACTGCTAAATATAACTAAAAGCTAAATTGATTAGGTTTCAATTGAACTTTGTACTAAGGCTCTATTTTAATTTGCATACCTCCTAAAAAAAAGTGTTCTAAGCCTGAAAGGTCCTTTAAATACTTTGTAGTATTACCTTCTGTAATAAAATAAAAATAAAATTCAAAAATGATAAAAAAATACAATGAACTTTTCTCATATGACAGTGTAACATATCTGTGTATAGTTATTATTATTATTATTATTTTGCCTTTGGCACTCAATATAATAACACTAGGTATTGATATATTGTATTGACATGTAAGCTGTTGTTGTGGTTGTAATGTTATTTAAGAGTAGATACCAGCACTCCCTGATCTTGGAGTCAGACCAAAACACTAATTTGTGCTGCTTTTGTTTCTTTAATGCCAAAGGTAAGTTGTTGTAGCAGGCACAGTACATTAAGAACAAATTGAAATATTTCTCTGATATTTCTACAGCTTTGTTTATATCCATATAGACATTTATATAAATACATTTAGTTATTAAATAGTTATTAATTAGTTGGAAGTTGGGATTGGAAATATTCTGGCCTGGTTAGAATTAATAAATTGTATTATATAGTGCAGGTGAAGCTGATGTCATGTGTTGTGTGTGTGTGACAGGTGCCTCTATGGCTGGCAGGGCCAGTACTGTGACAAATGCATCCCTCATCCAGGATGTGTGCACGGCACATGTGTGGAGCCCTGGCAGTGTCTATGTGACACCAACTGGGGCGGCCACCTTTGTGACAAAGGTATATTCTACTTTCTGTCGATGCTGTGGCAGGTTAGCTGTGATGTGTTAAACACTAGCCTAAATGTTTCTGCCAAACACACTTCTTTACAGATCTGAACTACTGTGGCACTCACCAGCCCTGCTTGAATGGAGGGACATGTATCAACACAGGACCTGACAAGTACCAGTGTACATGTGCGGATGGTTATTCTGGTGCCAACTGTGAGAGGGGTGAGTGACACCAAGATATTTGGCTCTTGTTCCTAGTGTTTACAGTAAAGTCGGCTACATAAACCAGGTAATGTCAACACTATTAACAATGACTTTAAAGGTTTACTAATTTTCTTGTGAACTACAATGTGGAGTTTAAAGTACTGCAGAATTACACATGGTAGAAAATATTGGATTGGATTCAGTTCAATGTACTTAATTTCCTACACCAGTTGAGAACGTGCACTAATGTTAGAGCTAATTTAAAATAATCCATTTTCCATTGTTTGTCATCTGAATGGTTTTAAAAGTATGAATGTGATTATAAAAGGGAGCCTCTATTTAAAAGGGCAAAGGTGTTTCCATCTCTGTCATTGGAGAAGGTGGTAACTTGGCAGTAATTGGTTTCCACTCATCGTCACTGGCCTTTGAGTCAGGCCATCCGTGGGTTTAGAATTCGTCGGCTAGTCGTCCCTTCACTTCTCAGACACCACAGATATGGGTGTGGCATCCTAAGATTCAGCTGCTGTGGACACTTTACCATGGAGATGATGTTTTTTGTTCCTCATTAAATCTAAGCCTTGCCGGGTGCTGACAGCTTAACTGCAGAGATGTCAGGATACTGTGCCCTTCGTAACAGGAGGTCTGCAGACTAGGGGACACGTCGGGACACGTAACATAGAAGCCTCTGGTTACAAAGCCTTTCCTTCTCCCACCGGCTGTTTACCCAGAACTGTTCATTGACCACACCAACTGTCTAACTCCCAGAGTGAATAATTAATTTTTGATTCAGTTAGGATCCCCTCATTCTTAACTTCTTAGAGGAGCTCACTAACTGAAATACAGCCCCCCACACACACATGCACACATCACTCCCGCCACACTTTAATCTTCTGACGCCTTTTGAGAAGAAGAATGGCGGGGAGTCGGAGGGAAGTCACGGTGTGTTGGTCAGGTCAACATAGCATGAAAGATGATTTCCTGGCAGTGTGTTCTGCTGGGCAGCGAGTGTGAGTGTCTTTGGGAAAATTTGGGAAAGTTTAAGGACAAGAGAAAAGGAGGAGGGAGAATATTTTAAATGGGTGAGATTGTGGTCTTTAATGCAATAAATAAAAATGAAATTATAGACTTTGTTAATACACATGCTACACCTTTATCATCAACAGTTGAATTGTGCAAAATAAAAGTTTATTAATTGACTAAAGTGTATATTTGTGTGTCTGTATTTTAAACTGTCTTGTCATCCCCCAGCCGATCATGCCTGCCTGTCCAACCCCTGCTCTAATGGAGGGAGCTGTTCAGAAACCAGTCAAGGCTACGACTGTCTGTGTTTGCCCGGCTGGAGTGGCCCCTCCTGCACTATAAGTACGAATGTCACATCTTAATGGTTCATCATGTTGTGTTGTACCATTTTTGTGTAACCACCCTTGTGTTCATTCACAGATGTTGACGACTGCTCTCCAAACCCCTGTAACCATGGAGGTACCTGCCAGGACCTGGTCAATAGTTACAAATGTCACTGTCCCTCACAGTGGACGGGGAAAACGTGTTTGATAGGTGAGTCACCTGAGCTCCTCCACTCCCTTTTCTGACTTCACACCTGTCAGCAGCACATGCAACTGCAACTGCCACTAAGCTCTCTCTCTCTCTCTCCCTCCCTCTCTCTCCTCCCTCTCTCTCCTCCCTCTCTCTCCTCCCTCTCTCTCCTCCTTTAGATGCCAATGAATGTGATAGCAAGCCTTGTGTCAATGCAAACTCGTGCCGCAACCTGATTGGTGGATACTTCTGCGAGTGTGTCCCTGGTTGGATGGGGCAAAACTGCGACATCAGTGAGTAGGATGCTGTCAGCAGCAGCTGTGGAGTGGGACACCTGTCCAGCTTCTTCTACCCTTTTTTCACTCGTCTGTTAGAGCAGCCTGATTTTAATCTGTGCAAATAACATAAAGCAAAACATTGGCTGCCTTTTCCCTGCAGTATGATTTTCCTTGTACTATTGCCTTCCCCGTGTGTGGCCAAGGCCAGCTATGGTGATTAGAGGTGACTCCAAACAATCCGAGCACTAGTTTCACTTGGCAGCAGACAGTATTGCACAATACTCCATGTTGCCCTCACTCTGCAGCCACAGTACCCAGCTCTCACTGAGCTCTCCTTAGATCTTGAGCTGACAGTGTTTTTAAAGGCCCCTATCATGGGAAACATAAAGCATAGACTTTTTTTCAGTCATGTTGCCCAGAATTAATCTTGATTTGTTTTCTTGTGTAGATATAAACGACTGCAAGGACCAGTGCCAAAATGGAGGAACTTGTAAGGTGTGTGTTTGGTTCTGAGTGTAACAATCTTTTTCTAACTTTGTTTTGTTTGTTTATGTTGTGATATATCTCTTATTTTGTTTTTTCTTTTAATCCTGGTAAATTTACTGTGGACTGTTTTTGTTCTCATTGAAATTATTGTGGAATTCCTCTGTGAAATCAAACCTGGGGGCAGTAGGTTCAGAAGGTTCACCAAGGGAGGGACATAAGAGATTTTTTGACGATGGTGGATTGAATTACAGTAAACATTATTGTGTTGAACCTGGGCCAGGAAAATGTGTTGAAATGAATGTAGAGGTGATGATTTTCCTCCAAGATCATTGCAGCTCCACTCTTGACCTTACTTGCATTCTGTTCAGTCATTTAAAGTGTCCTTGTTAAAGACCCCCACCCTGTGAAAACTACTGACTTTGATTTCCATCTCCTAGGACTTGGTAAATGGTTATCGTTGCTTATGCCCCCCTGGTTTCACTGGTGAGCACTGTGAGAGAGACATTGATGAGTGCTCCACCTCGCCATGTCTGAACGGCGGCCGCTGTCAGGATGAAGTAAATGGCTTCCAGTGCCTGTGTCTGGCTGGCTTCTCAGGAAATCTCTGCCAGGTAAGGCCAGACTCCCACCACCATCCCACACAAAATTAGGCCCACATCCATCCATGCTCCCTGCAAAAATTTAGCATCTTTTAGGCCTGTATGCCACCCCCCTTCTCTCCCTGCTGCCAGCATTGCTGTATCACTGGGTTTGCCGTAAAGTTTTCCTACCCCACCCTTTAAAAGGCTGCTGTTCCCTTGTCCTTCTTAAAAATGGCTGCTTTGTTAAAGCTGCTCCTGGCTACAGTTGGATACATTCCTTAGTGCTGAAGCCCAGACTCAGAGGACAGCTCCTATGTCTCTGACTTGTTTTTCCCCCTTCCTCAAAGCGCAATGCGTGTGTTATTTCCTGGCACAGCCAGCAGGGAGGATGCTGTGGGTTTCACTCTGTTTAGTGTAGCAGAAAACCATGTCAGCTATCAGGTTCTCAGCTCTCACTTTAATATCTCTGCTGCCATAGCTGGATATCGATTACTGCTTGCCTAACCCGTGTCAGAATGGAGCAGCCTGCTTCAACCTGGCCACAGACTACTACTGTGCATGTCCAGAGGATTACGAGGGGAAAAACTGCTCCCACCTCAAGGACCACTGCCGCACCACGACGTGTAAAGGTACGTGTCCCGCAGGCCTTCACCAGGTTTCTGCTCTTTGTGATTTTCCCAGAGTGTTTTCTAAAACACAAGGTCAGGTGGTAATCATTTGTCCACAACCTTTAACCACATTTCCCCAGAGAGTAATATCACTTACACTTATGTTCTTGGCCAAGGTGAGCAGTTATTTTGGAGGTGGAAATGGGGGGGTAGATTCCTTGATGGCTGCCCCCTAAATCTACGCGGCTAAGTCGTTCCAATGATTATTCCCTTTTCTGAGTTTGCAGAAAATCTGGCAAAAGCCTGATAGCACTGTGTGTGTTCTTTATAATGACTTGGTGGGCTACCCCACTTTTTTTTTCTTCTTTCAATGAGCACACTCATTTTTTTCTGTGCATGTACATGAAATAGAGTGGACCAACCAGGGAGTGAGATACCAGACGGTGAGGTTCTCTGTGCCATTGGCAAGAACAAAAGTGATTACAGGGGAAAACCTTAACCCGATCAGATGGGGAAAGGATCGTATTTTAGTCTGACAAGGATTAATCCTAATTGCTTGTGAAAGCAGTGTAATGTACTGCAGTATCTCCTGTTACTTCATTTCTTTTCATATCTTTCACTGAAATGTTCCCTTTATCTAAGTGAAAGGGTTTCTTTAACGTGGTCGGCACTGCGTGGCAGCACTGTGCTGCTGTTTCTCACACAGTGGTTGGATATAATGTCTTCTTGAGTAATGACTTCTTGATGGTCATATAAATTATTTGATACCAAGGATAAGATCCCTATTCATCCTTTTACCTGCAGGGCACAAACAGCTTTTTTGTGATGACGAACAAACAGGCTCTTCCAGTTGTTTTGCAGCCTAACTGTCTCTCCTCTTTACAGTGATCGACAGCTGCACGGTAGCTGTGGCATCCAACAGCACACCAGGAGGAGAGCGTTACATTTCCTCAAATGTGTGTGGACCTCACGGCCAGTGCCGAAGCCAGGCTGGGGGCCAGTTCAGCTGTGAATGTCAGGAGGGCTTCAGGGGCACCTACTGTCACGAGAGTAAGGTTTCACACGTAAAACAGACAAATCAAGACTGTCAAAAGAAACCAAAAAACTAATTTAATTTTTTTTATTTGCCACTATTTCTTTTGGGCAATTTCAGATATAAATGACTGTGAGAGTAATCCATGTCGAAATGGAGGTACCTGCATTGACAAAGTCAGCGTGTATCAGTGCATATGCGGCGATGGCTGGGAAGGTGACCACTGTGAAATCAGTAAGTGGGGCTTGTACTGCTGCAGATGACCTCATGTGAGGGTCAAACCCACATGTCAACATACAGGTCTGGTGTGTTGCATGTAAATCACTCTCATGTCCGATGTCTCCACCAGACATAGATGACTGCAGCACCAACCCCTGTCATAATGGAGGGACATGTCGAGACCTGGTGACTGACTTTTTTTGCGAGTGTAAAAATGGCTGGAAGGGAAAGACATGCCACTCCCGTAAGAGTCCTTTTTCCTCTTTTTTTTCTTTGTTTTTCCACACCCAGGTAGTCTGTCTGTGCAGGCTGTTGGTATGTGCTTATAGCTGTACATAATTACCCCATCTATAGAGTGCATGTTTACTTGTGGCTCATGTAGGTGCAAATCTCAAAACAGTCCTTTTTTTAAATGTTCCCTTCAGGCGAAAGCCAATGTGATGAAGCCACGTGCAACAATGGTGGCACCTGCCATGACGAGGGCAATGCGTTCCAATGCAAGTGTTCGCCAGGATGGGAGGGGACGACCTGCAACATAGGTGAGACACAGAGTTATGGTTGCTTTGTCAGGTTCTCCTTTTCACATACACACTCACACATGCTCAGAGAGACAACTAAATAAAATAAATGTGTTGTGAGAGCGATCCATCTTGTCCTGGATATTAATCAGGTCTGTCAGATCAGCGAGGTCAACAAACCGTTTTATCCTCTTACTCTGTCATCACTTCCTCTCCCACCTCGCCCACTACACCCACTCCTATGAGCGCTGACAGAAATCTGCTTAAAATCAATGATTACACTGACAATTCACTACAAAGTCAGTGGAATGTACATTTCCTGAGGAAAAAAAGAAGAAAAAAAAGCAGCTTTTAATAAAAGGCTGCAGCAGCACTGAGGATTTCCCCCTCTGTGGTTTAGGATTTCACTGATAATTTCTGATTGTTTTTCCCTGTTCTCCTTTATTATCTGTAGCCAAAAACTCAAGTTGTCTTCCCAACCCATGTGAGAATGGAGGCACATGTGTGGTAACTGGGGAGTCATTCACCTGCGTCTGCAAAGAAGGCTGGGAGGGTCCCACGTGCACACAGAGTAAGTGCTGTTTGAAGGCCAGTGGTAAGAGGGGGGAACAGTGGACATTTATCGCCGTTCAATGATGATAAACCTCCCTTCATCTCAGTGCAAAGGTGAACTCCTGCATCTGATAAAATCTGACTCTAGATTTGTACCATTTTTTTTTTTTCCTTTTTAACTTTTTCATCCCTCACCGGCTGCTGTCGTTCATGAGGGGAGACAGAACAGGAGGAGGCGGAGGAGGGAGAAAGGCTGAGGAAAGTGGAGACAGATGTTTCTTCCACCTCCCCTTCTTCCTCCTCCAACACACTCCACGCTCCAGCCGTTGCATTCTTGTCCAAACAGCGATATGTCTGCTTGTTCTACAGCCCTCCTTCATTTCCCTGGGATTTCTGCCCTGAACGCGTGTTCTCCCAAACATAAAATTTCCCGTTAGCCGAGGCAGGAACCTGGGTTTTTAAAAAGGCTGTATTTTCTCATGTTATGTTCAAATATTCAAGTATTTGAACGTATTATGACTAGGGCCTGGAGTGAGGGTCGGCTCAGTTGTTTGCACTTTGTGTTTAATAAGGCATCGTAATCAGTTGAGGCCATACTCGTCCAACATGCCTCTGCTCACGCAAGCTCAGACGTGCTCCTCGTTATGTGCAATAAACATTTGTAGATGAGAGTGAGACTCTGACTCTGTTTTATTCACTTTTCATTTCTTTTTCTTACAGACACAAATGACTGCAGTCCCCACCCATGGTAAGTGAATTTGGACTGCAAACAGTCTTTTTTTGTTTTGTTTGTTTGTTTCTGTCCGTCATAGTTTCTCACCTGCAGGCTTTACTGCTTTTCTTACCATATCCTCCCTGAGAACTAGGCATACACCCTTCTTTGTCATTCCAGGGAATGCAGTCATCAAACCCTTTACTGTCAACTCCCTGACATGGCTCTTATTTAGCCACATACCACAGGAGCTCACTCCCCAAATCCTTGCACTCTTGTCCAATAAAAAAACAGTCTGATTGCCATAATTGCTTTGAGGAATTTTATTGTAAGTTGACTACAAAGAGGATTTGTGTCTAGTGGTGTTTGATATAAAAGACATCAGCGCAAGTATCTTTGAACACCCTGAGATACTAACCTCGGCTCCTCCTCTTGTTTTGTTTTGTTTTTGTCACAGCTACAACAGTGGGACCTGTGTGGACGGTGATAACTGGTACCGTTGCGAGTGTGCCCCGGGCTTTGCCGGTCCAGACTGTCGCATCAGTGAGTATCAACTGATCTATTGTCCAAAAACGGCTTTTTCTCTGAAACATAAAAAGTCCCATTGGCCAATTATCTGTACACTCGGCTGCAGTCCAGACAGAGTCATTTTGGAGTCACCTCTGTGAGCCCTGCTGCTGTCCCCTGGGGTAGACCAGCCCAGCAGACTCAGCAGCACATCAGCCATACTCCCTGACACTGATTACACAGATTGTTTTCCCTCATAAAGGCTTTCAGATGGCCACATTCTTTACCATCACAAAGTCTTTGTTCTGCTAAGTCCGGCACCAAGTTCCCATCTGTCTGCTAATGATACTGCTTTAATAACGCTGCACTGAGCAAACGTGATTTGAAGCAAGTCAGCTTGTTTTGGTATTACCTGGTGTTTATATGCATCCTCTGTTGAAATAACACATGACCCTGGTGAATTTAGCCAAGGAATTAGATTTGTGTGCTGACTGCTTAACTCAATATTTGTGTGTCGTCTGGCTCTGCTCTTAACTTCGTGAAGGAGACGTCTCTTAACCCTCGCTCTCCTCCTGACAGATATTAATGAGTGCCAGTCTTCTCCCTGTGCCTTTGGCTCTACTTGCGTGGATGAGATCAACCGATATCGCTGCTTGTGTCCACCAGACAGGACCGGACTGCAGTGTCAGGACGGTGGGTCCTCACGAATGCAGTTATCAAGTCTAAGTCACCTGGCCGAGTTTGTCTGTATGTTTATTTTTTAATTGTCACCGCCTTCAACAGTTACAAGAAAACCTTGCACTGTTAACGGACACACCACCCCTGATGGAGTCAAATGGGACGAAGACTGCAACACATGTCAATGTTCCAACGGGAAGGTGGTGTGCACAAAGGTATGTGTGAACCACCTGAATGCAGACTCAAATATACAGTATTTAAAAATACGCTCAGAAAATCATCCCCTCAGATTTTCGTAGTCACAGGACATATTTAGTGGTGTGTTCATCTGCAAGGACAGCACCCTCTGTCTGTGTTTTTCTTTTCCTGTAGTCAGGATGCTTCTGGGACAAGATGTTGACCAGTAGAAAAATACACTTTTTAAAAGCAAAAGAAGGAGCAGCAGCTTTATTGGTTATTTTGTAAACATACAAATACACACAGTGATATAGCAGATGCCTGAAGTGGTGCTACTATTATCCTGCTCCAGTCACATGAACAACAGTGTCTTACACACAGCTCCCTAGGAAGAAAATGCATCATGGGCTGAAAATGATACAGGTCTATGAGGTACAGCTCCCACCAGTAATGTAGTCTGATGTGGGATTACAATAATAGCTGGGATTAGGGCAAGATTGTGTGTTTCACAGAGATGATGGAAGCAAATCCCTGGACATACACTGCAGAAATTAATCTTTTTTTTTTTTTAATGCTGCTGTAATCCCTGACTGAGAAAAGGCCTGAGTGTTGAACCTCTGCCATTTAATCCTTGTGCAGAAACATATGGAATGTTTGCCAAAAGCCTAAGACAAAAGTCAGATAAGAGTGTTGAACATTACACATGTGATGAATTCAGCTTCTAAACTTTATAAGTTCAGACTTGTCATCATTCACCAGCATCAGAATAATGTGATGAACAAATGCTTCTCCCTCCAGGTTTCAGATGTTGTCGTGTGTGATTCACTGTTGTGATGACTTTGAATTGAGATTATTTGTTTTTTTGTCAGTTTTGTAAATTAATCTGTGACGTTTCCTTTCCAGATGTGGTGCGGACCTCAGTCCTGCACACTGAGTTCTAAGGGCCAAGGTGGCTGCCCCTCCAGTCAGAGTTGCATCCCCATCAGGGAGGGCCACTGCTTTATCAAGCCCTGCCTGGACTTAGGAGAGTGCTGGCACTCCAACCCTCCCCCGCCTCTCCCTAAATGCCACCCCAGCTCTGGTTACCAGGACGACAGCTGTGCCAACATCACCTTCACCTTTAACAAGGAGATCATGTCCCCGGTGAGTTAGCTCAGCGACAAGGAGGGCGATGTTGAGCCACAGGGTCATTTTTCAAGCTAACCTTCACAACCGCAGTCAAATGAATTGGAAAAGCCAACCGTGACAGACGAGGGTTTCATGTACACCCAGCCAGTCTCTCTACAGCGAATTATAATAAAAACAAGTCAGCCATTCATATGTAATTCTTTGTTTGAAAAAAAAAAAAAGAAACAAACTTAAATACTTGTCTTTATTTAACTTTTGGTGAAAATCGGATCTAAATTTCAGCCACACTGCAAGATCCATTTAAGGAGCATATGGATTTGAGCTAACACTGGCGACTCTGTCAACACAGGATCAACTCTTGCCAATTGTCTAACAAGCATGACAGCAGATAGTGATGAATATAATGAGCCTGTGGTTTTTAATCCAAATAAGGTGGATCCAGACCAAAGAGCTCTCACCCTGCTGCCAGGATACAGGCCGGGCCGTCGCCCTGATTAACATCTTCATTTCCGCGTACGCTGACATTACTCTTATTTCCTCAGCAAATTCAGGGTTTGACTGTGGAGGGAGTGTGTAAGCAGCTGAGGCACTACGTGGTGAAGAATTTCTCCTTGGAGCATTCCGTGTCCATAACTTGTGACCCCTCATACTCAGCCAGCAACGAGATCCACGTCTGTATCGTAAGTACATTCTCTTTCCGTCAGTCTGCCACGTGTGTGTCTGCTGCTATTAACACATGCACTCAAAAAAATGTCCCTGTTGATTTATAACCTGCAGCGTGCTTTCTTTAACAGCTCTGAGATGGACTGGATTGGGTTTATAAAAGGGATTTTACTTTATTTGTCTTTAGAATAAATTGACACATAATGGGACAAGCTAATCTATTCTTTTTTCGTCTTTTTCATCTCTTTGGCTCTTGTAGTCAACAGGGGACCATCGCCTGGACCACAGCCCCATCAAAGAGATCACAGACAGGATAATCGACTTGGTTAGCAAACACAATGGGAACAACACCATAATCTCTGCCATTGCAGAAGTCCGTATGCCAAGCCCCAGCAAAACTGGTATGAACCACATCCAAACCCCTGCTTGTTGCTTCTTCAGTTATCCAGGCTTGTACACACTTGCTGTCTGTAGAAGTGGGTGGAGCATTGTTTTGTTTTGGGTTTTTTTTTTGGGGGGGGGGATGGAGTTAAGGATCAGATGTGATGGAGCCAAGCCCTAAGTATGAGAACATTGCAACAAAAAAAGTGTAAACGAATAAATACATTTTTAAAAAAGCTTCCCATCCCACACAACTGGACCTGCTCAGGTTTACCATTTCATGGCAGTTATTATGGAGATTAAAAAAAAACCTGCCAGGATTCCATTAGGAACCAGCAGAGCTCTTTGGCAACACTGTGATTGGCTGCTGCAGGGACTGGCTTATCTCGTAGTAAGACTCCTGCATGTGTCTACCATTTATCAACATGGTGACAGCAGACAGCCGCCACATCCAAACACAAGCCGCCTCCATCCTCTGTTCAGGACGTGGAGGTCAGGTTGCAACAGTTAAGGCATGCTAATGATTTCTGAAAACTTCACGTTACAATATCATCTAAACTGTGGTTTGTGGTCAGAATTGTTGGTTCTTTTTTTTTTACTTATATCATTGGTTGATCGGGGTGCTATCTTCTAGGCTGTCAAAAATTAACGTGTTTATTGCGTGAAGATTATTTAGATTTTAAAGCTAAGGTGAAATGTTGCACACTGTATATCGTTATACTCTATGTAGCCCATACATCTGCTGGGTATGGGCTACACGCGGTCGCTGTGGATTAATCACAGCTAGCTTTTGAGCAATTGGTGGTAATCTGTCTTCCCTTCCTTCAGACTACCTAGTACCGCTCCTGAGCTCCGTCTTCATTGTGATCTGGGTCCTGGTGCTGGTCTCTACACTGCTGTGGTGCATGCGTCGCCGGCGGAAGCAGGGCGGCCACAACGGGACGTCGGTCGCCGTCTCCGAGGACAACACCACCAACAATGTGAGGGAACAGCTCAACCAGATCAAGAATCCTATAGAGAAGCACGTGGGCCTCACGGTGGCCATAAAAGACTACGAAAACAAGAACTCCCTCATTGCCAAAATAAGGACAAACAGTCCCGAGGGGGACGAGGATGACAAGGAGAGGCACTTGCAGAAGAGCCGCTTTGCCAAACAGCCAGCATACACACTGGTGGAGAGGGACGAGAAGATGCCCATCTCCAACTCCACGTCCAAACACCCTAATTGGACTAATAAACAGGACAACAGAGACTTGGAGACGGCAAACAGCATAAACAGAATGGACTACATTGTATAGCAGACAGCTGTGTTGCTGTGCAACCAAGCCTCACGCCTTTGCACCCCGGTGGTGGGTGAAAACAGGGGAGCTTTCCGACATGTGCGGTTGGTAAAACTCTTCATGTCAGTTGTGATCCCACAGTATTTTTTTTTTCTTTCAGATATTCCCCGTGTTAATTTAAGTTTTGACAAGCTGGCTTACACTGGCAGTGACAGTTGCTTTGGTTGGCTGGAAACACAAGGCACTGGTAAACATTTCACTGTAGAAATAGTCGCAAAAAAAAAAACAAAATCAAAAAAAAAATCGTGTCTACATTTCATTTCCCCTTTTGTTTATGACTTCAGTGGACACAGAGGGGGGTCTCGGTGTAATTGTTTAACGATGACAAAAAAAAATCGGACATGTTCGACACTTGAGCTAAGTGTTTTTAGTGAGTGTTTGAATCCTTGGTAGTTCTGTTTTTTGAGAAAGTGCCTTTTCAGCTTTAGACTTCAGCAACTGTCAAATGAGAGAGAGGAAAAAAAACAAAGATCAACTTTATTATTTATTTTTATTTTCTGGGCGGGGCTGGGAGGGAAGGGTTCAAATGTCAGCAGTTGCTGCCAATATGAAGAATTTATGTCAATTTAGAACATGTAGATATGTACATTTTTTTTATTAATCATTGTGTATATTTGATTTATTAACTTAATAATCAAGAGCCTTAAGATATCATTCCGTTTTATTTATGTCTAGTTTGAAGGTTTTTGATAGCTGTGGAAGCCTACCATTCTTCCAGTGACTTTTTTTAATTAAATTCTATTAAAGCAAATTTTCAACAAAAATAGAGGCAGAAGACGGGCACTTTGGGCCTGATTTTTTTTTCTCTCATTTTTTTCTTCCACACAATTTACATTTCATTTTTGTGTTGCCAGGACCTTGATTGAAGGCAAGTGAGTTAAGGACAACAAGGAGTCATTAGCTGCTGCGGAGACGCACCACGGACATGGTGGCAGACATATTGCTTGCCGCTCTTGCTTTAAATACTTAAGGGAACAAAACAGCAGCCTTTTTTTTAGCAGCCTTTTTTTTTAACTCGACGACATATTTCAAAGTAAGTCACATCAATGGACACGCCAGAATTCCCATCTGCTTTAGTCAGCTAATATCATAAGCTAGACCACGAGTACTTGAATAGTAAGGGGGGGGGGCAATGGGAACACTGTAGAATCAGATCAAACACACTGCCTTCCTCTGTGAGAGTCTGCTTTTGTTTCTGTGCACATTACTTTTTTTTAATGAGGCTCTTAAAGACAAACATTTTTTTATCTCATTTGTTAATTCTTTGAGATCATGGCAACATTTTTGTCCTTTTTTTTTTCTCCCCCTTTTTTTCTTTTGACTTTCTTATGAACTTGAGAATTATGTGTTGATCTGGCAATATATTTTTGAAAGTTATATTTATTAAATATTTTGTATGAAAAGAGAATTAAAGTGTTCTTTTTCCTTCCGGACAGTGAGTGGAGCGTCTGTCGTGTGTGTGACACGTCAGGACAAACATGTCCGTGCAACCGACAGCTTTCTCATGCAGCTCTCGTGGGAACCGATGCCTGCCGTAGAGACAACACAAACATGAGCAAGGTCTATGTCCAAATGAGTTTACAGCCAATTACGTTGTTGCAAGCCTTCCCTGCATTAAGTCAATCCTGGAGACAAAAATACTCCTGGTCCTCATGATCCCCAGACAATGTCGCTCTTGTTGGTCCGGTTTGAGAGAACGGCTTAACTAAGACCTTTCATGCCATGACGGCTGAGATGCCTACATTAAGATGAATTGATTTTTTAAATGTACTCTTGTGCAAAATCGGCTTTAAAAGCATTAGATTCAAAGCAGGAGATTATCAACACCTTCTGAGAATAGAAGCCAGCTCTCATCTCTACTGATGTTTGCTAACAGTAGATTAGGACAGACTGACTAGTGTAACAGTAACCAGCGATGTTGAGACACGACACCTGCCTCCATCAACCTGGGTTATGCGAATGTCTAACCGTACACTGGAAATTAAGCCAGGTTTTTTGCAGAAAACATTTATTTGCCATTATAAAAATTTAAACGTCTATCATAGAGGGGAAAATAAATCAGGATTAATGCGTTCAGGCAACAATATGAATCACCCACAGTTAATGTTGGCTGCCCTCCTACCCCCACGCACACTGCAGCCGCTAGTCAACAAAAACACAACACTGCTCCACTGAGTGATGGTGCGATGACAGCCCACATTTTACTCCACCACATTAACCTGTGATGCTGCAGTCATCCCTTATAAAACAACTAATACTTCAAATGCCCCTCATACAGTACAACCGCGTACGTTTGGTCGGAGTTCAGTTTAAAAACTGACCGTAAAAAACCTCAAATTTACAGATGGATTTCAGATACTTAGCAACGGAGCGTAGAGCAAATAGGCTAAAATGAAAATCCAAGTACGAAAAAGACATTCCTTAAAAAAAAAAGTGTGATGAAATAAAAGTGGAAATAACAATCAATCACAGCAGAGCTTCAACTGGGGGAAACTGGACACTTTTCAGACACGTAGGAGCCAGCGCTTCAGACGGAGAGCCATGACGTACTGCACGGCTCCTGACTGTCTGAAATCCCCAATCTTCGACACAAAACCAAATCTAAACTTCAATTAAAGGTTTTTGACTTTCATTTGCAAGCCTCTCTTGACCACCAATACTTATGGGTGGAGGCACAGTCTGTTTCAAGTATTTGACAAAGTGTGGCTTATGTATCAATTGCAATAATATGTTTTACATTTGATATGTGTGTGTGTGTGTCTGTGTGTGTGTGTCTGTGTCTGTGTGTCTGTGTGTGTGCGCGTGCTGTCTGGGAGCTGTGTGTGAAGACAACACATGTACTAAATTGTGACACGTACAAACTGCAGTCATCTGAGGCGACTGCATGGGGTAAACATGTAGCCCGACACGATAGCATCTCTATCTCTGTGGCGTCAGACATACTCACTCGTGTCTCCCCCTCAGGACCTCTTCAGTCGTCGTAATCTAGAGGTTCTGGGCACACTCTCGTTCCCCTCCTCTGCGCGAGTGGATCTGGAACTAATAGAGCAGCCTGAGGATGCAGGCTTGACAGATAGGCCCCTCAGACTTGCGGCCAGCCTGTTTTGGTTTGTCTGTGCCGTGTTATTGCTTGTGAGGGGGAGCCTCTGGGCGCGTTTCCCTGGCGTAAGCAGCTCTACTTCCAGTGTGGTTTCTGTGCACTCCGAGACTGGGAAAGCCTTGGACTCTGCCTTGGCTTGGACCAGGGGAAGGGGTGGCAAAGGAAGAAGGTCATGCTTGGATGTTTGTGTCGAGCTCTCAGTGGAGTGAGTTTCAGCTGGAGCTCTTCCAAGACATGTCCTCTTGGTCCTCTGTGGTTGAGGGTCTTCCTCAGGGCTGCTCACTTGTAGCCTTTTGCTCTTGTTGGTTTCTCTTTCGTGTGAAACCAAGACTGAAGGAACAGTCTTCACCTGAGCCTTAGGTTCAGAGATAGCACTGGGACATGTCACCAGGGGGTCTGTCTCTGGGACAGTCCAAGTCTCTTTGTGACCTAATTCCTGTCTTTGTTCTTCAGGGGAGGCTCTCTGGTCAGCACGCTGCTGCTGCTGCTGGTCACTGGCTTGTTTGGTTCTGAAAGAGTCAAAAGGACAAGAGGATATGAACAGATACTCGAGTGTCCTCACTGGCTGATGGGCCTGGAAAGTTCTGCATTAGATCATACTCACATCTTTTGAAGCAGCGTCTTCTTTGTTTTCGTGGGGCTGTTTAAAGCCTCTTGGGTTTCTCCCACTCTGGAAAAATATTCTGATCGGCTTTGTTCACTCAGTTCAGTCTGGAGAGAGCAAACAGAATTGGTGTAAACAGAAAATATTATTCCTGGCATCGCAGGAAGGTTTGGATCCACACAGGCTGCTGTCATCAATCTAACATCATGATGGGACACTGAGGCCAAGACATAGCATAACAACTGCAGTCAAACATGAACATTGAGAGCCTGTTCACTCTGACATTCAGGAACTGTTGTTTTACTCTCTGCCATTGGACAAATAATGACGGAAGAGACTTGTTACACCAGGCTAGCTTAATAATGTCCAACAGCAACCACTTGAAAGGCTCTAATCAGCCACATGTCAAATATCGTAATGTATTTTTAATTGCCTTTGCAATGCTCAGCCTGAGGCAGAATGACTTCACGGTGAATCCATGCTGACACGTTGAAAGAACAATCACAGTCAGTGTATTATTAAGATGACAGAAGTTTTCTGATGTTAAATTACTAATTTTTACTCTCATTTGAAGCACTGTAATGAAAATATAGCGACAGACCATAAACATGGGAAAGGGAATATTTTTAGGCTATAGTAAGGCATGTTTT